CACCTCACAACAGTCCTTTCTGTTAATCAAATGTATTGTAGAATCGACCAAGAAGAGATTTGAAAGGTTCGTGCTACACGATTCAAGCACAAAGCGTGGTACATGAGGAGGTAGTGTACAAGTATTTATGTATGTATACACATCTAGATTCTAGATACATATACATGCAGACATACATGCATGCCTGCCTGCATGCATGCCTGTCTGTCTGTCTGTCTGTCTGTCTCTGTATGTATGTATGTATGTATGTATGTATGTATGTATGCATGCATGCATGTATGTATGTATGTATGCAGCAATGCATGTAGGCATGCATGTGCGTATGCATGCCTGCATGGAGTTACATATATATATATATGTATGTATATATATATATATACATTATATACTCGTCAAGTCTCCTTCCAAACGCCCCGTCGCGATGGAGGCCTGGACGTTTTAAGGCTTGGCATTTGTAGGTGCTTTAGACTTGCGGCTCGAAGACTTGAGGGTTTAGGCTTAGGGTTTAGGGCTTAGGGTTCAGGGCTTGGGGCTTAGGGCTTATGCGTGACAGGGTCGGCTTTGCATGTCGCTGAAGACTTCGGGTTCACCATGTTAAGGTGCAATGTGCAAGGGTTACAGAGGTTTGGGGTTCGGAGTTTGAAGGCTTCGCGTCTAGGTGCCCAAACATGCCCAAACTGTAGGATACGAAAGTGCCCCCGTCTGCCAATTCCACCCACGAAGCACCAGCTGCCTCCTGAAGCAAACTGGCTGGCGAGCTAACTTTCGCAATGGCGATGCCGGAAAGGTCGAGATGCACGGAGACCTTCTCGAACTCGAAGTTGATCTCACCTCTGTCTAGAGCTCAAGGATTTCAATTGGTGTAGGGTCCAGGGTTCGGGGCTTAGGATCTGGCCTCTAGGCGAAGCCACTGCCACCCCGGAGAACTTGGCTTCGTTGAAACTATCCGCACTGCACGTTCCCTGCACACCATGGTTCACAGACACCTTGGCTGCGCCTGCCCAGTGGGTTATCTCGTGAACCATGTAGATCTGGTAGAGGTACTGCGCTGCTGGCGTCAGCCCCTTCACGACTGCAGTGGATACCCCGTGTTTGTTTGTGAGAAAGCCCCGTGCGTAGTCTCTTGTATGTGTCCACCCTGTCAAGTCTGCTTTGTAGCCGTTGGCCAAGTCCACTTCGAAAGTTTGGTGACTAACATCGCTCAAATGTTGATTACCCCAGGAGTCGAAGTTCTTTTCGGTCTCCTGAGCAAGATGTTCCGAAGCCTCGAGCACGGCACCTGCCCTCAGCTTCCACTTCAAGTAGTCGACGGTGGCCACCATCTCCGCCTCTGACAACACCCTGTCCCACGTGATCACCTCCATGACGTGAAACTCAGACTTCTCATCCCAGCCATGATTGATGTACAGAGGTATCG